TGACAGATTTTAGGATTCCTAAGTTGTGGTTACACGACTGAGGAACTGATTTATAAACTAATTTCTACTCCAGTTTGGTGGCACCTTTGGCAGCTACTTCCAGAAATAAGTATGGACAAATGAGGTATCTATTTCTGTCTATCTACGGTAAACTGGAGATAATCAACAAGAGGCATTGACAAGTTGGAATACGTCCAAAGAGGGGTTGCGAATATGATGGACTGCAGACCATGCCAAATGAGTTGAAAGAACCGAAGCAGCTTATCCAGAAGAAGAGAAAACTTGGCAGGCAACATGAAATACTCTTCAAATACCTGGAAGGCTGTCATACCTAAGACCAATCGCACTTGTTCTGCTTGAGCCCAGAGGGAAGACCCTGGACCGATGAGTATAAGCTGCAAGAGGCAGAGTTCAGCCCGACGGGATGAACAGTGTCCTAATGATGGGCTGCCTTCCTAGCAGGTCTTCAAGCAGAAAGGTTTTCAAAGAGAGGGCTCTGCAGACATGAGTTTGGACTCTGGAAGGCCCTTCCAACTCAAGATCCTCTGATAAATTCAGTGACAAGAGAACAAGAAGATTAGCCTCCACATGAATTTCATTAGAAGCCTTTCTTGCTATCAGTGTTTGCCTTTTCTGGCAAAGCAAGACTTTTCTGACTTGCCTTGGTGGGAGGATATGGAGACTTCCCATAGTGCCTCTTGAATTACTCCCCTATGTCCAACCTGTTGGTCTCTGAACTGGAAACCATTACTCTGATGAGGGTGCTCTCATCAGGACCTGAGCCCTTCACTGATTCATAGAGAGCATGTGACAAACAGCCCAGATGCCTCTGACATGGAACTGAGTTCCTTCAGATTTCTCTTCCAACTGAGGGAAGCTTTGGAGATAGGAATTGCCAGGCTTCTTACCTGCTTAGCAGTGGCTGCTTTGTTCATACAACAGTTCTGTTCTCCCTTAAATTCATCAGACAAATCAGGAGACAGAAACTATCTCAACTTAATGAGAAATTTCTTGACTGTCAAGTGTAGTGGCTTGGATGTAGGTTGAATACATGCATATAGGTGGCCTGTGGGAGAACATAAAAGTCCCCTAAATTGCCCCAATTTTTATATCCTTGATCAAACAAATCTGATGTCTTCCCTTTACCAAAGATTGTTTCCCAATCAACACTATTGAAACAAGGTCTTTTCCTTATTCTGAAGACATACTATTTTTGAGAACATCCAGATGGATTCTCTCACACTTCTGCAGTTTATGAGCCTATTGCCTCCTTTTTTGGTTTTGCAACCTGGAGGGTGGGCATAGATTATTTTCCTTATCTCACCTTTCTATTATAGTCAGACCCCAAAATTAACCTTAAGTAGTTACCTTCATGTTCTAGAGAAAGGCATGTCCCACTGGGCACATTCATAAAGTTTCTTTTCATTATAAATCCCCTTATGAAAGGATAAGAGATGATCTCTGGCTGAAAGCCTTTCCACGTGAAGTCCATAGATGGCTTGTACCCAGAGTGAATTTTCTGCTAAGAAGCTCTGTACTCCATTTCAATGCCTTTCCTCATTCAGGTCAGTTGTAAGATTCCTATATTTCCTATGGATTCTCTGATGGTAAACAAGGACTGTCTTTAGCCTGAAGGCATTACCACATTGATTACTTTCTTAAGGTTTCTCGACAGTGATAGTATGATATCAGGTAAGATGATCCATCGGTGTAAAAGCCTTTCCATGTTGGTTGCACTCATAAGGTTTCTTTCCAGTGTGGATTTTCTTATATTTAACAAATTTGGACCTAAACCCGAAAGACTTTAACCACTGAATACAGTCATAAGGTTTTGCTCTAGTACGGTCTTTCAGATGTTGAGTAAGATGGTCCATCCATGCAAAAGCCTCTCCATATTGTGTAGATTTACAAGGTTTCTCTCTAGTGTGGCTTCTCTGATGTTGAAGAAGACTGTTTTTCAATGCATAAGCCTCTCTGCATTGATTACATTCATAGGGTTTCTCTCCAGTGTGTATTCTTTGATGTCCAATGAGATAGCTCTTCTTTGTAAAAGCCTTTCTACATTGTTTACAGTCACAATGTTTCTCTCCACTGTGGCTTCTCTCATGTGCAGATTTTTCTCCAACTGAAGCCACAGGAGCCACCATTCATGAATCTTTACTTGTAAATTTGTTCCATAGAAACTCTTAGCTTTGTAATAGTTTCCTTCATTTCTAATCCCATCTCCCCCTCCTTCTTAAAAAAAAAAATCACAATAAAACAAATACAGACTATTCACACACACACATTTATATTCCCTTCCCTTCATCAGCAGAATATAAACTCAGTTATTTTCTATTTCTCCAGAAAGAGAGAAAAATCTTAAAGGGGCAAATCTAATCATTTGCAAATGCCATTAGCCAAGGATGATTTAATTTACAAAGAGCTTCATGCACCATTACATTGGATTGTCACAAATATACCTGTGACACCGGTAGGGCCATCATCTCATCACATCCACAACTCCAGCCATGAGCTAAGAATGATGAGTGACTTGAGCCAAATTCCAGCAGCTGAGACTAGAATTCAAACCTTGAGAATGGGCATGCTCTGTCCACAGTACTCAATAAATTATCTCCACTTTCAGTCTTTCCCTTTCCCTGTCTGTAGTTTAAACCCATTCTTCATAGATACAATGCCTTTGGTGAACATAAACTAAATATTCAAAATATTTCATGATCTATCCTACCTTTAAGCATAATGTAATTTCCCTGATGATCATTTTCAAACTTATTTTTTTTTCTGTTGCATTATCTGAGGTCACATTCAGAATACCAACAGTTTTGTGTATTTACCTCAGGCATGTGATTTTCTTCTGACCGTTAATTTTTTAAGAAAGGCATTACCTATTTGTTTTTAAAAAATATATCTTTAAATGTCTCTGGTCAGTAAAATAAAATTAAAATCCTTCTAAAAAACACAATTTTAAAAAATGCATGGATTGCTCATGTCTGAAAACGTGTCTGATGTAGGAATTTGGGTTCATCACACTTTTGTACAGAAGTGGCCAATATGTTTGATTCTCTTGCGCCCATTCCCCTTTCAAGGTTCACAAACCCCTTCAAGGATTGTGTCAATGGTCCATGGGATTTGAGCTAAAAATGTCAGTGGCACCTCAAGTGGTAAATAATTGTCCAGTTTGGTTACAAAGATATTTATTTTCTGGGACATCAAGTATGTGCATGTTTCAATTCTGACAGTAGTCTTTCTGCAGTGATTCCAAACTATAATGATAAGAATACATTTCTTTGGGAGATTGTTGAGTGAGTACCTCAAACTCTGACTGCTACTATGTGCAACATATTCTTTCAGTTTCTCAAATTGACATCAGACTGTTTCCAAACTTCCAGGAAGGTTGGACATTCATGTGCAAATGATCACAAGAATGCAAAGACCTTCAGTGCCTATCACTGCACCTGAGTAGTTCCCTCATTCATGTGTTACCTTGTGATCACATCTCATCAAATCTGAAATCATCTGTTCAAGTTCTTACTTAGGTTTGCATTCTTACAGCAGTGCTGGCAGGCTATTTGAAAACCATTATCACTAGGCATGCACAGTAGAGGTCATCATGAAATCATCATGGGCCACCACAATCTTTCTACAAAAACAGACTATTCAAATGCTAAGGTTGTTTTCTAATTTGAGATTCTCCCTTGATTATATTACTCTTCTTTTTTCTTGCTGCTTCTCAGAGGAATTGGTTAGCAAGGTGAGTTAGACTATCCATTAGTCATTTGGTAGTTTCAGTGAAAGTATAGCCAATTTACCGGTGGTAGAAAAAACCAAGTTATGTCTGAAGAAATTCTATCCTTTCAAAGATTGTTTTGTATATAAATATTAATGATAAAAAAATCAATATTTACAATTGAAGCTAAAGTACAATTATCATCTAATGCAGTACTTCTGAATCAACAGAAAAAGAAATCTTTGTAATAGCAATTAGCAATTCATTTTGACTAGTTAGGGAGTTAAAAAAAAAAGTAAGTTCCATCTCTCAGCAGGAGTTTGTCAAATTCTCCTTCTATTTTCTACCTTATCCATGAGTGAACATTTTCACTCTATTCTCTTTAAAAATCAGAATTCAACTGTTGATGCAGTGAATAGAATACTGGATCTCAAACCCTAAAGACCTGAGTTCCAAGCCTACATCATTTAAAAAAAATTTTTTTGGCTAGGCAATGGGGTTAAGTGACTTGCCCAGGGTCACACAGCTAGTAAGTGTTATGTGTCTGAGGTCAGATTTGAACTCATCCTCCTGAATCCAAGGCTGGTGCTCTATCCACTATGCCATCTAGCTGCCCCTCCAAGCCTACATCATAAATTTGTTAGTCCTATGACCCTCTGCAGTGTGTATTCTCTAATGTTGGGTAAGGGTGGTCCATCCATGTAAAAGCTTTTCCACATTGGTTATTTTCATAAGGTCTCTCCGCAGGGTGTAATCTCTGATGAAGAGTAAAAGTAGAGCACCATTAAAAAGCCTTTCCACATAGATTACATTCCTAACGTTTCTCTCCAGTGTGGATTCTCTGATGTTGAGTAAGAGCTCTACTTACCCTAAAAGCCTTTCCACATTGATTACAGTTATAAGGTTTCTCTCCAGTGTGCATTCTCTGATGTAGAATAAGACTGGTATACCATTTAAAAGCCTTGCCACATTGATTGCATTCATAAGGTGTCTCTCCAGTGTGTATTCTCTGATGTACATTAAGAGTGGTACACCACTTAAAAGCCTTTCCACATTGATTGCATTCATAAGGTTTCTCTCCAGTGTGGATTCTCTGATGTTGAACAAGACCATCCTTCCATGTAAAAGCCTTTCCACATTGATTGCATTCATAAGGTTTCTCTCCAGTGTGGATTCTCTGATGTTCACCAATACTCTTCCTACATCTGAAAGTCTTTCCACATTGATTGCATTTATAAGGTTTTTCTCCAGTGTGGATTC